GAACACGTTAGAACAGCACAGTGGATCGGCTCTTGCTGCCGTATTGTAGTGGGCAAACAGGCTCGCCATGGTGTTTGCTGCAGTATGTGCGTGTGTGCACTTGCGAAGCTGCATATACCACCGCTCTGCTGTTCACTGACCAACGTGTTGTACTCAAGCAGCCTTTATCGGGACCGTCTATGAATTTATGATATTTCGAAGATCATTTTGAAAAGGTTTTGGTGTGTACTATCTGACTGGAGCGCACCTATCAACCTGGCGCTTCTACGCACTTGCTTCCGCTGCGCCATGGTGTTTGCTACAGTATGTGCGTGTGTGCAGTTGCGAAGCTGCATATTCCACCGCTCTGCTGTTCACTGATCAGCGTGTTGTACTCAAGCAGCCTTTATCGGGACCGTCTATGAATTTGCGATATTTCGAAGATCATTTTGAAAAGGTTTTGGTGTGTACTATCTGGCTGGTGCGCACCTATCAACCTGGCTCTTCTACGCGCTTGCTTCCGCGGCAGCGTATAAAATATGTGTTCATTAGGGAATGGTGATAAGCAGTGCAGGCCAAGCCCGCCCAAATTGTTCAGGGCAGCTGCGCGTAGAGACGTCTCGGTGACCAACCTTCTACCGATGAGGCGCCAACTTATGAGATGTTTTCAGGGCCGAGCAGATGAGGCAGTCAGCGTGGGCTGCTGCTAAGGCAGCCGACTATGAGTGGACGCGCGATGCAGTGGAGGCTGTTGGAAGTTTCCCAGGTAGTGGTGTTTGAGGAGCCTGACATGCAGGTTAGATAGGCACGGTAGAGCGGATTCGGCTGTCGTATCTTTATGAAGCCACAGGCACCCCACGATTGCTGCAGATCGTACGTTGCCGCTTTGGTGTGTACTATCTGGCTGGTACTCACCAGTCAACCTAGCGCTTATACGCACTCGCTTCTGTGGCCACGTACTTATATATTGACTGAGGTATGCAGGTATGTAGCACCGGCCAGTCCCGCCCAAATTGTCCATCTACCCGTAGACACGTCTCAGTGGCCGATCTGCTACCGACAAAGCACAGATTTGCGAAACGTTCTTTTTTGCGCAGTACCAACGAAGCACTCACACTGGAGTGCCGGTAGGGCAGCCGAAAATGAGTGAACGAGCGACCGCAGGGGAGGCTCCTGGAAGCTTCCCAGTTATCCAAGTTTGAGTAAGAAGGGAGGGCAGGTTAGATCGGCACGGTAGAGCGGTTAGTGCTGTCGTATTTTCGTTAAGGCACAATTTTGCTATATCGTTTGTAGCAGGTCGCGCATTTTCGCTTTACAGTATACTCTCTGTCCAGTGTGCACCGATAAGCCTTTCGTTTCTACGCTATCTTTTCCGACGCCATCAATTATATATTCATCAGAGTAGGCAGATTGAGGAATACACCGAAGGATCACCTGCTAGGTCTATACAAATTTGTTCTAGTATCTGCACGTGGACGCGCCTCGCATATCTGCCTGCTGCAGACCGGGCACCACTCTGTGTTAATTCTGGCTTAATGGTACGTTTTCAGCGTAATGAGGGCGTGCAATCAGAGTGGCCTGTCGGTAAGGTAGTCGTATACAAGTGAAAGAGAAACAGTTGCTGAAGCGGTGGCTGTTTCGAGCTTATTTTGCAGCTCAGTTTGGGGAAGCTGAGGGAGCAGGTCAGAGTAGCACTGTAGAGTAGCTCCTGGTGCCGCATGTTCATATGCGCATGGATCCCCATCTTATATGCTGCAGGAAATTCGTTTTTGTAGTGCAGTGTTTTAGTGTACTGTGGAGCATGCAGATCGGGGAATGGTGTAAAGAAGCACCGGCCAGACCCGCACCAGCCGTTCTGTGCATTTTTGTGCAGAGGCACTTCGATTATCTGCCTGTTGCAAACCGGGTTTCGCGAAAATGCCTAGTAGCAACAGTGCACTCAGCGTTGGCTTCCGTCAGGGCAGTTGAACGCGAGTTGCCGATTACCTTGTTATTACGTGCGGCAGCGGAAGCTGCTAGGAGATGCATGTCCGGGAAAGGAGGGAGAGTACATTAGAATGGCGCAGCAAAGTGTCTCTTGTTCTCTTAATTTCATGGAGGCGCAGGCTCTGCATGCTGCCTACTTCAGTATGTGAGTCTCCTGAACGAGGGTTCGGGTTTTAGCTGGCGAGCGAGTGCGAGTTCAGAATCTCCGTCGTGCATGGGCGTGTAACAGCTCGTGGAAGGGTCACATTGCGAGAGCCCGGATACTGCAACTGGGCGAGCGCGCGCACCATCTGTGTCGTAGCATGCGCTTTTGCTGAGTCTGTTAAATTTGTTTTGCTGCAGGAAGTGCGTTTTTGCCTTGCATTGGTTATTTTGTAATTGTGGACTATGGGCCTCCATGACGCAGGGCAAGTAGCAGCACTTCTCATATCTGAGATGTGTGGTGACGACGCAGACTGTAAGATATCAGTTTAGGAAACCCTAAACCCTAGCGGGGCACGCTGTGCTTCCACTATGTGCCTGGGCCCTGTTAACGCACGCTCCTTGCAGTGGCCTGCGTCTTCTCACCAGAAATTGGAAGACGTGAGAAAGGACAGCAGCCTCTGGCAGCGCTTTGCAATCGCCATCGGGGTGTTTTACGGTTCTGCGGACATCCCGATGTTTCAGTGGAGAGACTGCGTTGAAGTATTGGATGTGTTAAGGCTCTCGAATTATCCAGGTGGTTCTGCGGTATGGATAGCGGATGGTCGGGTGGCTCCAGTAAGCATCGCCGTTGTATATTTCACTATGAAAGTTTCTCTTACCTCTTCAGCCAAAGCTCACAGAGCCTGTTGACCTTTTGATTGGCTTTAGAGTATTACTAACTATTCTCCCCAAGGTTTGCGGAATCTGATACTCATGATCAATGGAGGAGAACCCGGTACACGAGCATACATATTTGAACTTGGGAGTTAGCCCACGAGTGCTCCGAAGACCAGGTATCTGATGTGCTTTATGCAGTCAATACAGCGGTTCGGCATGTTGTTCTTAACTTGCAATGTGCTCGTACGTGCTTTTGGGTTCCGCTTAACGGGTGTTCGATATGGCTCTATGCGCAGGCCAATGCCAATCCAAGAAACGCGCCCGGCACAAATGGTTAACTTGGGCGCATCTGCATTAGCAAAATCATTATTCTTATGTGTGCAACTCTCATTCTGATGCTTCACGCAGGCCCGCTTTAATCGCATTAAGTCGGTGAGGTAGAAAAGTCCCATATGTGTAAATGACCAATTTGTGTAGAAGGTTTCGCGGCATCAGCCCACAGTTTTTTTGCGCACAAATTTCAATTTCCTTTGATCATTTTCATGTTTTGTAAAATGTCTTTGCGCCTGCTTGGTATGACGCTGAGGCTCGGATAGTCTCCATTCCAAAGAAATCCCAAGCTTTTCGCAACTATATTTGCCATCGTTCTGTCTCCTCACCCTATTTTTATTTGTGGTTCCAGAACCCTAAGTAGGAGACGTTAACTGTTTCGCACAAGTGCACGTTGCCGTGGCACGTGGCATTTTTGTTTTTTGTTCCCAACATTATTCTTTCAGTGCAGTGACACCCGTTTGCTGGCTGCGTTCACACCGAAACAACAGGTTGCAACGCAATCTATCAACGCCCCCACAACGCAATAGTATAGCCGGAACCAGAATCCCCCTTATTTTTTGAGGCAGTGAAAAGCCGTAGCTCTCGTCAATTAGATATTGGCGCGCAAAATCCTCTAGTGCCATATGCCACTAGACCCAAACCACTTGCAGGCTCTTTACCAGAAAGAAAAATAGGTCGACGCCACTTATCACATGTACAGAATTTCCGGCTTTCGCGCAGCGTTTAGGGTTTAGGGTTTAGGGTTTAGGGTTTAGGGTTTTAGGGTTTAGGGTTTAGGGTTTAGGGTTTTAGGGTTTAGGGTTTTAGGGCTTAGGGTTTTAGGGTTTTAGGGTTTAGGGTTTAGGGTTTAGGGTTTAGGGTTTAGGGTTTAGGGTTTAGGGTTTA